GCCCGTGCATCTGGCGCCGCGCGCGCTCGCGGCGCTCTGACCCGCGCGCCGGGGCCCGCGCCGGGTCCCACACCGGGTCCCGTGTCGGGGCCCTCGCCGGGTCCCACGCCGGGACCCGTGCCGGGGCCCGCGCCGCCGCCGCGCCCGCCGCCTTGTCTGCGGCCGCCCTCGCGCGCCCCGCGTCAGGGCCCGACGCATTCTGTGCTCTGTAAATAAACTATAAACTATTATAAATATTACTATATTATAATAAATAGCTTGTATTGTAGAGTTCTATATGTTTGTTTTATTTCAAACTTCCTAATAACGACCATTAAACTGTGTAACACCAAGCGGTCACCGGTGACCGAAACCTATTGTTCTATAATTGTGTCTACAAAACCGGTACTCGACGAGTTAAAAACTATAAATTAAAATAAATCGAAATGTTTCTGCCTCATTGGCCGAGTGGGCGCAAATGCGATTGCCGAGGAAGGGGTCTCAGGTTCGATTCGGGCAAAGTATTATCTACAGGGTTTTTAAAATAATCTTAGTAGTAGCACGAAGTCTGGAAATGTGCCCGGTATATGGCAATAAATAGATTCACACCCTATTACATGGGACTCGTAACATAAATAGTGAAGTGGGTGTTACATTGCACAGTGGCCTGCTCCTAATCCTCCACTGATATTGGACTGGTTTCATTTTGACATGGAACAGGTGACATTTGTCATTACACAGATGTACTGTTGACACATAGATTTAGTATTACAGTAGGTCTGTGTGTTGACATGGCAAATGTCCCTTTGACATTTCACAAATGTCATGTTGATTTTTTTTTTCCCTTTTGGCAACCGAGTCTCCAAAACGAAATTGTCGACTATACTGCCAGTGTCGAGTGGTGACGGCAGATTAATGAACCGTCGAACTTAACTTTGCGGTAGTTTTTAGTTGTTAGTAGCTGAAAGGACAAAACAATTGGGTTAGTAAACATACATATAAATATGACGGCGCCGCCGTCATTATTTTGTAAACTGCGAATGTAATGGGCAAGCAGTGAACAAACAACTGGCCGACGTCACTTCAACCCCACCACCGAGTGATATATAAAGCAGCGCAAGCGCAAGCTAAGGGAGTCGTTCGTCAATCGTTGCCCAGTTCACACGTAACGCAATCGCTGAGTAATTTTATTGTGCACTGTCGAAAGTAAACGTTACTTTAATTACGAAGATTTAATTGTTTTATTACTCCATAAACCTATCTCTACCGATATATATGACGAAGAGGGTTCTCGTTTGACATCGCCCGCACCTTCCTTCCGACACCAGGATTATTGAAAATGTTAAAATTATCGGAGCCGGTTCGTGAAGAACTACCTACATGCAAATGCGACAAAGAAGATAGTGCTGCAAGATTGGAAGTGCTTAGCTATATATAGCTAGGTACTCAGTAGTAAAGATTCAACGTGGCTAACGTTGAGGCAGCTACTTCGAACTGAATCGCTATCTGAAGCAGCAAATGAAGACATGACGTGGTCCCAATTCAAGCCGGAGTACATTGGCGTCCAGTGACAGCATTATACGCGGCGTTAACGCAGCGTTTGGTGAGCGGCGTGTTGATGTCTGCAATTGGACACTGCTGCCATCGGGATTATACCAGGTGACTTTGTTCCATTTATTATGAGATACCATATGGGTCAAAAACGAGTCAAAGACTTGAGTTTACAATTGTTAGTTTTCCAATTTGAAATTTTATTTTATTTTGTCGGGTAGTTATTTAAAGAAAATAGCCGTGATGTTTTAGATCCGAGATTATACATGGTCATTAGAATTAC